AGTCATTTTTATACGTTTTTTAGCTGCTTTACTATCAATGAAAACCGTCAGTTAAATATTTTAAATATTCACGCTCTTTTTTGTTCTGTTTTAAAAATTAAGTTATTTTTTACTGTTAAAAAGAGGTTACATTTAGAATTGCTTATAAGATTACATACAAAAACAGTGAAGTTTTGACAAACTTTAGTCTCAAGTTTTTTTGCGCTACATTTTTTGGTGTATAAATTGGCTTTATAAAGCAATAAAAAACCATAATTCCTGTTACTTCTAACTATCAGCTATACTCCTAATCAGTTTTCAAAAGAAGAACAAAAGAACAATTCTGTAAATTATAAAATATTTTGAAAAATTTTCTTTCTCTTAAAGCCACTTATTTTTTTCTTGGCTTTAACTCATTTCTACTCATATGATTTACCAACAAAAAAGAAAGCAGTGTAAAACTTTTTGACAGCAAAACGTTGATTTCAGTCTGTAAAAAAATTTTACGTCAATTATATACGTTATTATTTATCATGATACTTTTTCTTATGCCATATATTTCTAAACAAATATAAATGCTTAAGAAAACTGTTTTATTTGAATGATTTCATCTTTATCTGTCTGTCACCAAAGCTCTAATTTTTAGCATCGACTTGTTGGTATCTAAAAATACATTTAATACAGTTATAAATGTTGCAACAAAACAAATAAAAAAATCCCATTATTCAATCGACAATAATACTGTCTATAAAATCGTCGATTATACCTCTGTACTATCAATTTTTACCTAAACTATGCATTACAGTATTATAAAAAATTCAAAAAGAAGGTTACCAGAAGATTTTTTTGTAGTTTATAATAAAAGTCAAAAAAAAAACAAAAAGAAGAAGAAAAAACCTTCAGTTTATCTGTATCAAAGTCACTGTACAGATACAGTTGACAATAAAGTTTCAGAAGCCATAAGCAATAGTATCTAATTGTCTTTTATGAGCATTTCTCAGCAAAACCATTAATTTGATTAATATTTCGCTTGAATTAACAGTAAAAAAGCAACAATAACTGTTGCGTAAAAAAGTAACAACAATTTTGATTATTTATTTGGTGAAAAACTTTCTGAAAATCTCATAAACTCTCAATGAGGTTGACTGAAATTTTATACTGCATATGAAATGCTGCTTAAGTTGTCGTTTTCATTTATCAATGTCACTGCCGATATACACAGTTTTTTACAGCAGTTACTATTTACAGTTTTCTTAAACAACCTTTATCTTTTTCTATTTAGTCTTCATCAAATCTTTAATTTTCAAATGTCTTATTTTGACGGCATTTAAAAGCACTCATTCATTTGTTGTAGTGTGAAAAGCAAAAAAAATTTTTTGACCAGACATTTATACTTCAGCATCAATAAGTAACCAAAAGCAGATAAACAACAGAACAAACAAGAAATCAAAAAAAAAAAAAAAAAAAAAAAAAAAAA